ATATATATATATATATATATATATATATATATATATATATATATTGTAGACACATATACATCTCTTGGCTTGCGATGTTTAATATCGATGCGCAGTGAATAAACAAATATATCTTTTTTCACCTTGTTTGTTTTGAAGATACGAATGATAATTATTCTGTCTTTTGCTGCATTTTCAGACTGCCTAATGAATTAATTGCTGTCTTTAAAGCTGCGAAGAACTTAGCGATGAAAAAAGCATTTGCAAATGTAGAAATACCTGACACAAAAAATATGAAGGGGAAATTTGTCGGGTCAAAATTTCAAAAGTCGATGAATAATCTCATGACTACTTTGAAGTCTTCGCGAGCGCACTTCTGCAGGTATATATATATATATATATATAAATATATATATATATAATATTATATGTATATTTGTTTGCTTGTTTATATGTATTTACAGATATGTGTAGGTTTTTTATATATTTTTATGTTTATAGCTATTTATTTACACCTTTATGTACATATATATTATATATATTATATACATGAGTATCTATATAATATATATATATATATGTATATATGCATCTATATATATAACTATATATATAGTTATACATAAACATATAACTATATATATAATCTGTGTGTGTATTATGTGTGAACTGCAATGAAGATGTATAAAGCCGAATCAAGTGAAGAAGCCTCGCGTCTTTGAGACTGCTAATACTTTAGGGCAGTTGGTGAGTTTGTCTGTCTTAGAAGCAGTAGGAATTATTCATAAAGGGTTTGCTTATCGCGCATCCTTCGCCGACTTCGTCAACGACAACAGCATTCTTCTACGAGTGCTCGGGGCTAAAGTGGTGCGTTTGATTTCTTTTACTTCTTTTGCATGCACTCGTTTTAATGCAATTTTCTCGCTTTTCTCGGTCTACCTCCTTTTCTCAATTCAAATTCATCACTCTTCTTCTTTACAAACCCCAGATGCATCCACACATAGGCATATATACATATATATAATATAATATATATACATATATATAATATAATATATATACATATATATATTATATATGTATGTATATATATTTATATATATCTATATATATATATCTATATGAATATACACACACACATATAGATATACATATATATATATATGTATTGCTTGAATACATATATATATATATATTTGTTTATTTTCTTTTCTTTTTTTCTTCTAAGGACGGAAGCGATGACAAAGCTGCGACTCTGATGATGTTGGAGCGTTTGGGCGTAGCCAAAGACCAATATCAGTTGGGTGCGTCAAAAATATTTTTACGAAAGGCGGGTTGGCTGGTCATTGACCAGTACTTTCGCACTGTCATGGGCAACCTCAAGCCCCTCATCGTCAAGCTTCAGGCTATCTATAGAGCAGCTAAAGCACGCACGTAAGCTGAACCTCTTGCTGCTGCTGATCTTGCTGCTGCTGATCGTGCTGCTCTTGCTGCTCTTGCTGCTGCTGATCTTGCTGCTGCTGATCTTGCTGCTGATCTTGCTGCTCCTGCTGTTGCTGATCTTGCTGTTGCTGACCGTGCTGCTGATCTGCTGCTGTTGCTGCTGCTGCTGTTGTTGCTGCTGCGGATACTTCGCGGTGGTTCAGGAGGCTACGGGTTTCGCCCTTCGTACCTGTATGCATGCAGTGCATGCAATGTGTGCATGCATGCAATGCATGCAATGCGTGCATAAACGTAGCAACGGGATTATAGCTGAGACCAGTTGTTTTGTTTGTTTGATTGTTTATTTTGTTTGTTTGCTTTATTTATTTTATTTGTTTTATTTATTTTGTTTGTTTGTTTGTTGTTTACAGACAGTATGTGCAGTTTGCAAGTCGCGTAATTCGTATTCAGTCGCTTATGCGACGCTATGAAGTGCGAAAAACACAAATAAAAAGATTAGAGCTTCAAAATATCTTTACTGGGGCCGTCTACGTGATGAAACTGTGTCTGTAAGTCTCGACATACTTACGCACTCTACTTGTACAACATGTCTATTACATTACATTTCTTTTGCTGTAATATATTTAGTATATACCATATGTATCATATATATGTATATATATGTATATATGATATATATACATATATATCATATATATGCATATATATATATATAATTTCTTTGATAATGGGTTTACTACAGAGATTATTATGTTGAATAAATACTTCGTAGAATCTAAATTGAAAAGTTTAAAGTGGATTGAAAGGCTGCCTTTCAATGCATTTGTGATTAATGAAATAAAGAATGCTACAAGAAGAGAATATATATGAATATATATATATATATATATATATATATATATATCTTCTCA